AATGTGGGCTGTATCGTGATTTCAACAGACAGACAGACGGACATCGTTAAATCGACTTAGAATTTTATGCTGATTATGAATATACATACTTTATGGGGCCTACGACGAATATTTAAGGATGTTACAAACGGAATGACAAAGTTAATTTACCCTCCTTTCCAAGGTGGAGGGTATAAAAATGGTATGTTCACGAGGGATAATCAAATTTGAAGTTAAAGAAAAAATATTTTATACGAAAATAAGTATTCAACAAAAAATGCAAACATATGTGATTGAAACAACATAAAAATTACTTAGTTATTTAAAAAAATATTCAGAGTGTCACAACACCCCCTCTCAATCACTTCGTTTCAATTGTAGTTCAACTCGAAACTTTATGCATTTACTTGTATCCAATTATTTTGTAAAGATGTCTGCTACTTGCGACTCTGTTGATATATGTTTAAGCTTTATGATTGATTTGGCTATATAATTTCGTATAAAGTGATACTTCAAATCAATATGTTTTCATCTTTTGCTGTCAGAATTTTGCGCTATGCCGATGCAACCACTGTTAACCTCATAAATTATAACAGGTTTATTACCATTTAGAACGTTCAAATTTATAAGAACTCCTCTAATCCAACGAGTTTCCGAAACATCATTCCGCTTCGCTTGATGAGGTTGCAACTATAGTATGTTTCTTACTGTTCCATGAAACAGGGCAACCAAAGACCTTGAAAATAAAACCGCTTTCAGATATGTTTCATCACTAAAATTATCTTGGTAAACCATGTCCAGTTCTTTATGGTCTGTTCGTTAACTTTTGGGTTTCTATTGAAAGAATCAATGCCTTTTCCATTGGAGATTTTGTAGGCTTGCACTCTTTCATTGAGAATTTTTTAAGAATATTTTCAATGCGATTTTTATGATTCCTCTTCATTATGCCTTTAGTTCTATCATATTCAATTTTCGTTCCCAAGTAATATTGTAATATTGTAGATCCGATTTTATCTTTTCTATTGCTTTCAAATCATTTCCCGCGATCAATACATCGTCCACATATAGCAGCAAGTACAAAACCGAATTTCTTTGAAACATTGTATAAAGACACGGATCATGTAAAGAGTTTTTAAAAACCAAGCTGGGCAAGAAATCGATAAATTTTTCGTTCCAGCATCTTAGACTTTGTTCAAGCCTATAAAGCGACTTTCGTAACATGCATACTTGGTTTTTAGGAGCGTTTAGTCCATCAGGAACTTCCATGTAAATATCTTATTTTAAATCACCGTAAAGAGATGCAGCTTTTACATCAAGCTGGGGCAAATGTACATGTCTCTTTACGCTCACCGTTTATATTATCCGAATTGTACTAAGTTTCACCACCGGTGAATAGGTCTTTTCATAATCAATTCCGGCTCTCTAAAGGAAGCCTTTCACTATTAGTCGGGCTTTGTACCGGACGGGATTACCATTTGCATCCTCTTTGAAGCGAAATCCCTCATGTTTTAGGCTTCTCTATACAATGCGAAATTGCAGAATTGGCATTTCCTGTCATATAACCTATTAATTTCGCCCTTAATCTTTCGCTTCTTCTTGGCTCCAATAAAGTGGATTGAGAGTTTGGTGGTTCATTTTCGTTAATAGTAGTTTCTCCATCGGCAGAATCGATATCATTATCGTTTTCTGCAGAAACCAATTCATCATCGGAATTACTTTCATCAATACTGAAATATTCTGCAGAAACGAGATTCTCCACATATTCCACCCATTGCTTGTGGGTGGGATCTTATAAGTAATTGAAGATTTTCTTTTCCCTGAATCTGTTGCAAATAAGGTAAACAGCCTTCGACAAAACGAACATCTCTTGCAATAACTATGTTTTCGGTCTTTGGATTCCACAATCTGTATGTTTAATGCTAGGAACACAATTGGAGCGAACGACGAATTTCGCCCTACGCGGCGACAAAATGAGCCGCGTAAATTCGTCGTATGGAACACAATAGCGACGAAATTACAGCTGATGTAGATTAACTGTAGATTTGTTTCACATAAGGTGGTGTCGGTAACTTTTTTTGCTTTGTTTATATCATCTTTTTGCTCGATTCAAAACCGTTTGATACCTGAATTTGTGTTACTTGCTTTGACTGTACCTTGTTCGTCATTTCCGAGACTGCACTTTGTTCTTCTTCGCTATTCACTAGCGACGGCATAATAATTTTTTTTTGACTGCAACGTGACATTTTCGGTGCTTTTATTTTCTTCATCACTAACATTGTCTAATGTGGTGACGTCACATAGCCGTTGATCCTCCACTTTATTCGCAGCCATTTGTTCAGTGACTTTATTTGTTAGCGAAAAGGAATAAACAGCGTTGTTAGGTAAAGTATTTGTATAGCAAATCCCACTTTTGAATATGTATGCAAAAATGCAAACAGTGCCGAATGTGGGTGAATTTGCCAAAAAACAAAAAAAAAAAAAAAAAAATATATATATATATATATATAAATATATATATATATATATATATATATATATATATATATATATATATATATATATATATATATATATATATATATATATATATATATATATATATTTATATATATATATAGCTGCCGCATTGTTTGGGGACAGTTTTTTGGAGGATTTGACCTCTTTGAGGACAGTTGGCCAGCATTTTTTTATATGCTGTGAACTCTCTGGGGACATGATCTCTTTGGGGACACAAAATTTACAAATGTACTTTTTATGCTCCTATGGTATTTTAACTATTTCTCATTCTAAAAAAAAAAAAATTTTTTAATGTTTACCCTGCAAACATTATATATATTCATTTTATTTGCAAAAAATGTATGTTTATTCCGGTAGGGTTGCCGAGTTTCAACCAATTTTCTACAATATTTGACGCCGTTCACTATTACTGGAAGTGACAACTTTGGACTGCCTGCATGTTTTCTTTAACGCATAAACATCCTAACACGAACGTTGGCAAATTAATGGAAAATTATTTCAATTCTGACAAAGAAAACATAAAATCTGTAACAGAATGCTGCATATTTATACCCTACAACACTATGTGTTATATGGATCTTCCTAGCTCGCCGAGCTGAGTCGATCTAGCTATGTATGTCCGTCCGTCCGTCTGTCCGTCTTTCCATGTTAATTTGTATTCACGCTACAGGTCGCAATTATGGTCCGATCCTCACGAAATTTTGCACGAAGGTGAGGTTAGGGTCAGAATAGAAGCCTATTGTTTTTGGGTTGAAATGGACCAAATACTGAAAAAATGTCTGATTTTGAAGTGGCTATACAGGTCGCACTTATAGACCAAGCGAAATTTAGCATGGGGCTAGAGCTTAGCATTGGCCAGAAATCTTTTAATTTTGGTGGACATCGGATAATATTTAGCGGGTGAAATAGACCCCGAATTTTGTGTTGAAAAAATCAAATTTTTCAATAAACCGCGAATATTTTTAGTCCCGGCAAAATCACAAATAGACGAGAAGGTCAATTCTGACCGTTACATAGATGTTGATAGTAATGATATCAGGTATATATAGCGAAATATGTAGAATTTATATATAAAATGGAAATGGATGTTAGTTTGAGCGCTTATATCTCAAGAATGGCTGGACAGATTTTGACAAATCTTGTCAATTCAGAATGTTTTTTTTTTGTTTCGCATAAAAAGATGTCAATAATGACGATAATATGCATTTTGTAATATTTTGTGATATTTTTTATTTTTTTTCATATTTTTTATCGCATTTTCTCATTTTGACTTACAATATTGAAGTATACATATTCTAATATTTTTTTACCTTGCAACAAAGGTTGGGATTATAATATACAGATTGTAATTATCGTCCGATCTTCACGAATATTGAATATACATTTACTAATATTTTTTTTACCTTACAACACAGGTTGGGATTATAATATACAGATTGCAATTATCGTCCGATCTTCACGAAAATTTTCACGAGGGTAGGGTTAGGCTCAAAAATGTTAGGCCTATTGTTATTGAAGATTTCCGCAATATATTTAGTGGCTGAAATGGGCCAGCAACTAAAAATTTTTCTGATTTTGCAGCCGTTAAAAAGGGCACAATAAGAGACCAAAGAACACGAAATATCGCATCAGGTTAGAGTTCAGGACAGCGGGTAGAATGGACGACTATTTTTGTGCGAAAAATACGAACATTTTCATTTTACCGAAATCCTGAAAATAACTTCCAGGCGGAATTACAAATATACAAAAGACGAACTTCTGGCATTTTTATGTAGATTTCGTTGAAAGAAAAGCAAATCATGTAGAAGAGTCTATATTTGGAGATACAGAGGGGGTAAATATGGGTTAAATGCTACGAAAATGAGCATGTCCACATGGTTTCGGTTAAAAAAACAATAATGTTTTTTTTGCCATTTTCTAGATATAGGATAATTCGAAACGAGCAGCATTTGAGTCCAACATCAATTTTTAAATTGGATATAAAAAAATAGATTAAAGCCATACTACACGAAAAATTATTTATCACTCTATCTTGAAGAATGCGTTCGAGTATCATTCCTATATAAATTGCATGGCTTATTATAGTGTTGTAGGGTATTATACGGTCGGCCCCGCCCGACTGTAGCCTTTGCTTACTAGTTTTATTTTGTTTTTGCAATAATCACAGAAAAATCACATGAAATTTATGAAATATACATATTGAGTGTAGTCGTTTAAATATTACGGAATAAGCTTCGGACTAATTTAATCATAAAAAACAAAGCGAAAGCCAACCAAAGTGCGACTGTGGAAAATTTGTGAAGATTAGTCTAATAACTCAAACAATTTTTTTTACTCCAATTGTCAATTGGATGGAGACAGAGGTTAACCACCCCAATTTGGGTTTATTTTTTAAACCTTAATTCAGTGGCTTAACCCAGTCAGTTGTAAACGTACTATAAACTCTCTCACCGATAAACTAATGTAGATTTGGACTTGCAATTGCTATGTACTAGAATGTTTACTACAAATGTTTACTACAATGTTTACTACAATGTTTACTACAATAACAAGTTATCACATTCTTCCGTTACGTTCCGACCACGACGTGGAAATACAACACTGTTGTCACTTATGACATCAAAATATGCTAAAGGTTTTACAACACTGCATGCAAAAGTGTCAACAGTGTTGTATTTTTTTGCCGAAGACAAAACCAAACTTTGGATCTTTTTTAGGATTTATAGCTCAGTTATAGGGAATATAATCTCTACTAGATTTTAAAAAATCCCGTACAAATATCGCAGAATTTAGATAAACGTTTATGATGTTTAAGCAACAAATCCTTAAATTTTTGATATGTTCCAGAATCTGAAAATAACATTTTTTTCTTTATGTTATCGGCAAAAATACGTCTACAATAGGGTCTACTACCCTGTAGTTTTAAGACAGAGCATATCTCAACATTTGAATACGCATTATTTGTATTTAATATTTAAAAAAAGCAATTTCAATGAAACTTGATTTCTGTAGGAATCATTGCTACTTTATTTCCTTTATTTTGCTTATTTTTTCACATGAGGTTTTGCAGTTTAACTTTCTTCATGTCGGTTTATTTGACGTGTATGCAAATGATTTGACAAGTTTAACCTTGACCCAGTTAGTGTTAACGTATTATTACTGCAAAATTAGTATTTTCTTTGTGATAACTCAAAATGCAAAATATAACGTTGACTCATATAAAGTGTTACTTTTTGATTTTTTGGAAGTGTTCAGATTTATGTTTAAAAAACAGTGTTGCAATTGAGGATTTGTGCCGGTTTTAAAATAAGTAAAGATTCATTTTGTATGACAAATCTGGCTGATTTTGATGAAATTAACAGCCTGTTCCACGATGTCGAAAGAACACGTTCGCACAACTTTTACACGACAAACAGCTGATTTCCGTTCCACTAAAATCTATCAGAACGAAAATTTGCACGAAAATCAAAGCGAACGAAAACGTAATCGTTTCAGTGTAATTTTGCGTTCCACTATCTTTTTTCTTTCGTACGCATGCGAACACAAATGTCAAAATCAGTCACTTGTGTGTTTGCTGTCGAATGATAAAAATTAAGGAAAATTGTTTTAACATAAACATTCCTTGATTGAAAATGGAAAGAAAAATGTAAGTAAAAATAATAAATGCAATTTAATCTGTGAACAACAAATATATATTTTTTTATTTTCTCAATTCCAGCACGAAAAAACTACACAGCTGCGGGCACTAGTTGAGTATATCCTAAGTTCGCCAGAGGAGTGCCAATTTTTGGAAGCAGCAGGCAATCCCATGAAGACCACTGGAAGACACAAACCTAGAAAAAATCATTTTTTTATTATTTCAAAAATGTAAAAATACAATCATACTTACTGGTTGTTAGGTACTTCAAATAAATTCGAAGCATCTCTTAAATGCCTCCGTGGCACAATTTGAACCTCCTCCTCATCATCCATAAAAAATAGGGCTACAGAAATATTCATTTTTTTTTTTCTTTTTTAAGAACACAAATAATCTGAACACAATCACTAGAAATTTTATTTTGTTTGTTTATTTACAATTTGTTTGTTTACAACTGAACTGTCAGTTGAGACAGAGCCACTGCTGCTTTTTCGCGTTTAAATTAGACATTTGGCGCTTTTTTTTGCCTTATTTCGCGATTAATTTTGCCAAAAAATATTTTGCAACACTGAATCACGTAAGGCTATGCGAAAGAAAGAACGAAAGTTAGTGGAACGCATTCTTATGCGAAAGTGAGTGAGTAGCCTTCGTTCGCACAAATTTTCTTTCGAGATCGTGGAACAGGCTGTAAGAAAATAAAACCCGATAATGCGCTAAGTCCTGATAAAGAACTTCAATATAAATGGACTATTATATTTGCATACCAAACGATTTCATTTTATTTATGATTTAAAGTATTTGGTATGCCTGAAAATGAAAGTATACACTATTTTCTTATGTTGTCAATTTGCTGAAATTTGCGTAAAAATCCAGAAACAAAAGAAAGTAAATTAGGCGCGTTTATACTTGCGGTGCAAAATCGACTCAATTTTACGAACTCATAGAGCACAAAAAGTAAAGCGGGTACACGAATAAACCCATTCATACGACGCTATATGTAATTCATAGTCACCTAGTTAATTCTCTCTTAATTTTTGTTTGCAAGAATCTAAAATTTTTTACTAAGATACAATTCCTTTATGTTATCGAGAAAAATAAAAAAAATTAGTAACTTCTTGCAGTACTGGAACAAAGCTACAAAATATTTATAAATCCACACAGGATATATGCATACATCTTTAAATTTTTTTAATGTTGTTAGATTTTCACATATTTTAAGATTTTTATCTTTTCAAAGTTGACATGAGATTCATTTTACTTGGTTCCTTCTGCTAAAGAGGAAAGCATTGGGGCTTATATCATGATTTCTTTAAATCGAGTCGATTTCGGACCGAAGGTTTCGGCATGAAAAATACATCTCTGTTGATATTTTTCATAGGCAACAGTGTTGTAGTTTAATGTTGCGTGAAGCCATATTATGCAAGTTTTTCAAAAGCGCGTCATTCGTTGTTACTGTGTGAAATAAATCGGATTGGTTTTTACAGTTTATAGCGCAATTTCCAATTATAAAAATAAAAGAAAAATTTTAAAATAAAGTTGCTGCAGAATTACAAAAAGACGTTTTGAAGAGCAAGTGTGTCTTCCCTCTCTTATAAAAAGAAGAAAAACCAGGAGGTTTTAAGGAAATCGGTGCGTCTGCTGAAGAAGTATTAAAATGTAAGTAACTGCACAGTTAATTAAGCATAAGAAACAAATTATTTATTATAAAAGATGGAGTAAGATTGGAGGTGGGGTAGTCTCCGGGACCATGATCACAACAATATATAGGTTTCCCGGGGGAAGTCTATACTTCCCGGGATATGGGTCTTGACTTTTAGGAAATTTCCTACAATAGTACCTTTGGGTTCATAATGGGCTCCTCTCGGATCGGGCTGATATTTTTACCATAGTAAGTCCTTGGCTTCCTGATCACAACGATATTGATATTTCAGGGGGAAGTCCATACTTCCCGAGATATGTGTCCTGACTTTTTGATATATATCACCATTATTAACTCTTCTATATTGTCCGCATTATAAAGTACTATTCGTGAGCTTTAAAATGATATGCATATTGTTATAGCAGTAATAATGGTGATTTTCCGAAAAGTCAAGGCCCATTTCTCGGGAAGTATGGACTTCCCCTCGAAAATATGTATGTCGTTGTGGTCAGGAAGCTAAGGACTAACTATGGCAAAAATTTCAGCCCGATCAAAGCTGGAGCTCCCAAAAGACATTTAACTCTTTTGGTTTTTATCCCCTCATACGATGAAAATGTGCCAATTCGAAATAATAGTGTTAGACCCCACACGTGTTAAGAGTAAACCCGTTTCAGACAATTTGGAGTCGCTTTAGCAATGTCCGTCCGTCCGTCTGTCTGGCTGGCTGGTGAGCTCGACAACTCTCAAACGGAGCCCCAGATCTGGCCCAAATTCGGCTCACAGTAGTTTTTTGACCAAACTTAGTTTTAGTTCGAAAATGGCTTATATCGGTGCACTCTTTGATATATCCCCCACACAACAATACCACCCGATTGTTGGTATTTTAAAGATTTCAGCTTCATTTTTCGACGGAAGCAGTCCTATTCAATATCTTTTTAGGTGGCAGGCCTTCGGCCGTGACATGAGATTTTCTCCTCTGGGGTATTTCCAACACAGACTACGGGATCCAAAATATATCTATATTCATTACATTTTTAAGTTGGCCGACCTTTGGCCATATTTTTATGTTATACCATTTTGGAAAGGTCAAAAGGTACGATTTAATTTGGTACCAATATTGCGAAACCCCATAATGGGTAGTGTTTTACAAAAAACCCCATTTTGAAAACAGGTATTTTGGAAATATCTCCTAAAGTGATAGAAATAATACCGACATGTTACTACTTGTTCAAAATAAGCTTTCCAACGATACCCATATTGTAGTTATCGGTTCCGGGCCGTTTCCCACGAAAAAAGTACTTTCCTGTGATCAGGACAACAATTTCAACCACTGCAAAAAAATTCTAGAGTTTTTACTAAAATAGAGATAAGCCAAACTCCTCAGAATAACCTCCTTTATGATTTTTTATTTGAAAATTCCCCAACATAAACATGACTAATGTGTGAGTTTTCAAGCAGGATAGAGATCAAAACAATTTATAAAACTGAATTCCCTTCAATCCAATGAATTGTATTTATTTTCAAATTTTATGTTTGGAAAAAATTCCGAACATCAAAATTTCCAACAAAATCTAATTATTTTTGGATTGAAGAAGCGCTAGACATTATTTAATCATACACGCACACGAAATGTTCAGCGGCAGCAGCAGTTTGGCAGAAAATGTATGAGCCGCATGACAAATTTAAAAAAACCAAAAAATCTGGCAAAAGAAAAAGGGTTATTCAATGCAAACAATTTATAAACATTAACATACACTTTTTATATCCATCTATGCATATATTTCCCTTCACCCAGTAGTTTAGGAAGGTTTACGCGTTGAAATACATTTCTGATTAACAATATTTTCTAATAATTATCCGCTAACTCACTTTAACTATTCACGTACAATATTTTGTTTACTTTGCGTTCTCCTTTTTCGAAAGTATTGTTCAGGGAACTAAAATTTTATTTCGATCATTGCTTTTGTTACTTTATTCGCGTTTAGGGATATTCAAGTCGATTATCGACAGCGATAAGCGCTATTCTTTGTTGGACAACAGAGCCGATGTTACATGATCAATTCATCAAAATCAATTTTTAGTTTTCCGAACAATACACTTGAAAGAAGAATATTCATCTACAATATTTTATTTACATTGCGCTCGTAAATAAAATATTGTAGATGAATATTCAAGGTGAGGTAATAGATAATTATTATGAAATATTGTTGATCTAAAAATTTATTTCAGCGTGCAAACCTTCCTTACCTGGTGTGTAAAGGGAAAATTGTAATGAAAAGTGTGTGAGTGTTTATGAATCATTTGCCATGATTAACCCTTTTTTGTCATGTTTTTTTTTGTTTTCAATATTTGTATGCTTTGTAAGCGGCCCATACATTTACTGCCAAACTGCTGCTGTCGATGAACCCTTTGTGTGCGTGTGTGATTAAATAATGTCTGGCGCTCCTTCAATTCAAAATAATTAGATTTTGTTTCAATTTTTGGTGTTCGGACTTTTTATTTTCATAAATTGATTATTAAAAGATTTGAAAATTAATACAATTCATTGGATTGAAATGATTTTAGTTCTATACACAAGGGCGGCCGAGGCGGTTAATGTTGAAGAGGGGGGACAGCTTGAAAATTTTAGAAAAAAAACTCAAAATGTAGCCTGCAATTCTGGTATTTAAAGACAGTCTGACATTTAAGGACAGCCCTATGTATATTCTCCGAAGTGACAAACTAACACTATGTGGTGTAGGGTATAAATAGTTTAAGTAGATATAAAGCGGCACACATCACATTACACGATGAAAATAGGTAAAATTTTTCATTTATTGCAGTGTTAGCGTTTTTATTATTGAAAAATAGTTATGTATCTTTTTTTATTAAACATTTTGGATTATTAAAGCCTACTTGCATCATAAGTTTACTCTATTATAGTGAACAGTACTTTTTTTGGTTTGCGTTCCATATTTTATTAACGTACTTTATGTGTCCTCTTTTTATTGATGGTTCTCGTTGTCCACTATGTTGATTTGTTTAAAGTCATAGAAGCGCAGGTGAGTTTTTAAATGAAGAAAATCGTTAAGACAGTAAGTAGTAATTTCGGCCGTGCCGAACTATTTATACCATTAACCACTATGTTTATCAATGTTGATTGTGGCAGAAACTTTCAAAATACCGAAATTCGGGAGATACCGATGTATGGGGGCTATACGGAAACGGGGACCAGCATAGGCAATTTTCTACATAGGCTGTAATACCCATTTCGGACTTCAAATACGAAATTTGGAACAGTTCCGGTTAATAATGTCGCTAAAATCATCAAAATACCGAATATCGGGATGTACCGTTATATGGGTGCTATACGAAGCCGTGGACCTGAATGTGTAATTTTGTGTCATATGCTGTATAACCTATTCCGAACTTCATATACGAAATTTGGAACAGTTCCGGTTAATAAGTAATCATCGAAATACCGAATATTGGGAGGTACAGTTATATGGGAGCTATACGAAAACGTGGGCCGACATGGCCCATTTACGAACTTAACATGCCTACTGACAAAATAAACATGTGTGCAAAATTTTAGCCTTCTATCTCATTTCGTTCGAATGATAGCGTAATTACAACAGACAGACAGATGGACATCGATAAATCGACTTAGAATTTTACGCTGATCCAAAATATATATACTTTGTGGGGTCTAACATGAGAATTTCGAGGAGTTACAAACGGAATGACAAACTTAATATACCCTCCATAGTATGGCGGAGGGTATAAAAACACTTTCTATTAAAGTTTCGATTTTAACACTTAGGCAGAAAAGGAAACTTGTTGAACTAAGTTTTAATAACAGCAGCATTTGGGGTAATTGGGACCAGGCAAGGCTAAATTCAATCAAACAAAATAATGCACATATAAGTGCATTCACTTTTATGATCAGTGCACACGATCCATATATAGGCCGACTCTTATCGCGGAGTTCGTACGGCGCGACATTCAAAACCTCATAGAGAGAGGTTTGTGATATTCTGGTCAGGAATTTAAATCCGTGCCAGACAGGTAGGCTTTCCACTATTCCAAATAATTTACATTTATTTTTGTCCTACATGGGGTCACAACTTTTGAGTCGATGTCTAAATGTACTCTATTTTCAACCAAAAATGTTGGTCACCGTAAGAATAGATGAAATAACCATATACATTTTTAAAAACAACACAAAAATTTTTGGTTTTATTTTACTAATAAATATTCATAAAATATTATTACTGTTTTTAAAACATAATTTGGATGTTATTGAAAAATTGATCAAAACACACATTAATGAAGTGTTCCTTAAATTCCGTACAAGGTGTAGGTAGTTTTTAACAAATATAAAAAACCTGCAAAAGAAAAATGCTTAATATTTGCAAACGATGATCTACGAACATGCACTTAAACTTTCCATTTGAATTTCGATGAACTGGGCCTCCTGGCATTTGATTTTATTTTACTCCTCAGGTAAGCAAGATTTTCATTGTGAAAAACACTGTAAATGGTCAATATTTTTCAAACGTTATCCATTTACGTATATTTTGTTCCAATGTTTTGTTTATTACTTCGCGCCCTTTCAAATAAAATTATTGTATAGGGAGCAATAAATTGATTTTGTTCTCTTCTTTTGCTATTTATCGATTCGATTTTGAGATTGTATCGACTTTCGACACAACATTATGTAACCGCGGCCCTGCATCAAACATACAAACGGTGATCGTTGATGTCATTGGTCGTGCTACATTATGTCGAAAATATATTTACATATCCCTGTTACTCAAAATCGAATTAAATAGCAAAACAAAGAACAAAATCAATTTCGTGTTCCCTATACAATAATTTTATTTTAACATTAGAACAAAATCAACGTAAATGGATAATGTTTGGAAAATATTGACCATTTGCAGTGTTTCTCACAATGGAAATCTTGCTTACCTGAGGAGTAAAATGAAATCAAATGCCAGGAAGCTCAGTTCATCAAAATTCAATGGAAAGTGTAAGTACATGTTCGTAGATCATCGTTTGCAATTATTAAACATTTTACTTTTGCAGATTTTTTCATGTTTAAAAAACTACCTACAATTGTGCGGAATTTAAGAAACACTTCGCTTGGAGTACCTGAAATCATTGGATCAAAAGAAGAAAATCATGGAAATGACGAGTGCCCATATGCTGCTTGTCTTCAAGAGTTTATTGAAATTCATGATTTGAGTACAAACTTTTTTGCTTTTTGCGTATTAATGTGTCTTTTGATCAATTTATCAATAACATCCAAATTATGTTATAAAACAGTGATAAAAAATTTTGGATTATTGTTCTTAAAAGAAACAAAAAACTGTTGTGTTGTTCTTAAAAATGCATATGGTTATTTCCCATATACTTTCGGTGACCAATAATTTTGGTTGAAAATAGAGTACATCGGCTGAAAAGTTGCGACCCCATATAGGACAAAAATAAATGTAAATTATTTGGAGCTACACTTGAATAGTGGAAACCCACCTGTCTAACACCCAAAAAATCTTTATTTAAATTCCTGACCAGAATATCACAAACCGGGTGCCCTGCTCATAAGTCTTATTTATGTCTTTGTGTTTGCGGGAGTCCATGCACTTATATATGCATTATTATACCCTCCACCATACATAGTATGGAGGGTATATTAAGTTTGTCATTCCGTTTGTAACACCTCGAAATATACATTTTAGACCCCACAAAGTATATATATTCTTGATCAGCGTAAAATTCTATGTCGATTTATCGATGTCCGTCTGTCTGTGGAAATCACTCTAGATTCCGAACGAAATGACATAGGTTGATGAAATTTTGCTCAGATGTATATAATGTGTGCAGGACTTTTGGTATTGAAAATGGGCCATATAGATCGACGTCTTCGTATAGCCCCCATATAACGGTACCTCCCGATATTCGGTATTTTGATGATTTTAGCAACATTTTTCACCGGAATTGTTTCAAATTTCGTATTTAATTTTAGCAATGAGTACTACAACCTATGCCAGTAAAATATCTACGCAGATCCACATCTTCGGATAGCCCTTATATAAAGGTACCTCCCGATATTCGGTATTTTGATGATTTTAGCGACATTTTTCACCGGAATTGTTTCAAATTTCGTATTTAATTTTCGCAATGGGTACTACAACCTATGACAGAAAATGGCCTATGTAGGTCCACATCTTCGGATAGCCCCCATATAACGGTACCTCCCGATGTTCGGTATTTTGGTGATTTTAGCGACATTTTTCACCGGAATTGTTTCAAATTTCGCATTTAATATTCGCAATGGGTACTACAACCTATGCCAGTAAAATATCTACGCAGATCCACATCTTCGGATAGCCCACATATAACGGTACCTCCCGATATTTGGTATTTTGATGATTTTAGCGACATTTTTCACCGGAATTGTTTCAAATTTCGCATTTAATATTCGCAATGGGTACTACAACCTATGACAGAAAAATATCTATGCAGGTCCACATCTTCGCTTAGCCCCCATATAACGGTATCTCCCGATATTCAGTATTTTTATACCCTCCACCATACATAGTATGGAGGGTATATTAAATTTTTCATTCCGTTTGTAACACCTCGAAATATACATTTTAGACCCCTCAAAGTATATATATTCTTGATCAGCGTAAAATTCTATGTCGATTTATCGATTTCCGTCCGTCTGTCCGTCTGTGAAAATCACTCTAGCCACCGAACGAAATGACATAGGTTGATGAAATTTTGCTCAGATGTATATAATGTGTGCAGGACTTTTGGTATTGAAAAGGGGTCATATAGGTCGACGTCTTCGTATAGCCCCCATATAACGGTACCTCCCGATAGTCGGTATTTTGATGATTTTAGCAACATTTTTCACCGGAATTGTTTCAAATTTCGTCTTTAATTTTCGCAATGGGTACTACAACCTATGACAGAAAATTGCCTATGTAGGTCCACATTTTCGGATAGCCCCCACAGAACGGTACCTCCCGATGTTCGGTATTTTGGTGATTTTAGCGACATTTTTACCGGATTTGTTTCAAATTTCGCATTTAATATTCGCAATGGGTACTACAACCTATGCCAGTAAAATATCTACGCAGATCCACATCTTCGGATAGCCCCCATATAACGGTACCTCCCGATATTCGGTATTTTGATGATTTTAGCGACATTTTCGCCAGAATTGTTTCAAATTTCGCATTTAATATTCGCAATGGGTACTACAACCTATCTATGCAGGTCCACATCTTCGCTTAGCCCCCATATAACGGTATCTCCCGATATTCAGTATTTTTTTCATTTTAGCTTTATTTTTCGACGGATTTTTTAAAATTTCAAATTCCTTCTAAATGATGGAGGGTATTAAAAGTTCGGCCCGGCCGAAATTGGCTGCTTATTTACTTGTTTTGTGTAAATAAATTCAGCCTTTCCTGGTCCAAACTACCCCAAATGCTGCTGTTATTAAAATTTAGTTCAACAAGATTCCTTTTCTGCCTAAGTGTTAAAACCGAAATTTTAATAGAATGTGTTTATACCCTACACCACATAGTGGTAAGGGTATTATGTATTTGTGAATTTGTTTGTAACAGAGAGAAATAAGCGAGATAGACCCATGGTTACTTTTGAAGATATTCATAGAATCATTTTTTAATCGATTTATGCATGTCCGTCCATGTATTCTTGTGAACAAAATGCAGGTCGTATTTATTATCCGATTGAGATGTAATTTTGCAAACAATGTTTGTTTGGTTTGGATCAGATTAGATATAGCTCCCATATATATCTTCATCCGATTTTTGGTTTATTGTGCACAACCTGTGCAATAATACCCCAAATGGGATGAAATTTGGCAAATGTAGCCGATGTACACCAAGAATTAACTCTGCGGGATATGGTGAAAATCGGATGTGATTTAGATATAGCTCCCACATATATCTTGATCCGATTTTTGGTTTATTGTGCACAGCCTGTGCAATATCAGCCCAAAGGGGATGAACTTTAGCACATGTAGTCGGTGTACACCAAGAATTAACTCTATAAAATTTGGTGAAAATCGGATCTGATTCAGATATAGCTCCCATATATAACTTCATCCGAGTTTTGATGCATTGTGCACCAAATGTGCAAATTAGCCCAAAAGGCATGAAATTTGACACATAAGGTCGAGTGAAGGCTATAAAAACCCAATGCAATTTTGTGCACATAACAGCAGTGGTGTAGGGTGTCATATAGTCGGCTCCGTCCGGGTTGATGTTGGGCTGTAGGTGAGTTCTAAGGCTGGATTTTTTGACGTTTGGAAGGGTACGAAAAGCAACCGAGAAGAGCTACAGCTCTGCAATTTGGATTCAGCGTCACCGATGGTGTGTAGGATAGATGTGACAAATCGTTTTTGGAAATTTGTACCAAAAGGGTACGAAAACTTCTAATATGTACTTTAAATGTTACTATTCGTATGTTATGAATGAATGGACCTAGAATCGTCGAATTTGGTATGAGAATCAATAATGGCAAGCTCTCTATAGTTATATAAAGAAGTTTTGGAAAACGAGAGCAATAAGTGTTGGAATACTTCTAAATAGGATATAATTGTTGAGTAGAGAAAGGTGGGTGGATATATGGAGATGTTTTAAAAAACGAGTACCATAATTGACAAAAAAGTACTTAATAATGTACAATTCGAACGTAAATATAATGAGTAGAGGTGGAAATTGGTAATTTTGTGTTAGGGTGGAAAGGTAGAGATGCAAATCGAAATGTTGTGTTAGATGGATATATGGAAATGTTTTGAAAAAAGGGTACCATTACTGTTGGAAAAGTACTATATAAGGTATAATTTAATAGTAAATGAAGGAGTAGTGTTGAAAATCCGAAAGTATATGGACTTAGCCATATTGGGTGACTACAAATCGCATTTTTTTCTGACGTGGGAATATATTTAGGGAATAATAGATTGGGTGGTCTAATCCCATTTTTGATGGCGAATTCAGAAATCTCACACCTCCAAATGGGACAACAGTGGACCCAAAAGTATATGGACTTAGCCATATTGGGTGAAAATGAATTCAAATCGGAATTTTTTACTTTTGCTTAATTCAGAGTTCCGATTTGCTTGCGAGCGATTATTACTCGCTCGAGGAAGCGATCAAAAAGTGAGAGCGATTGCTCCAGTTTCGCTTTCCGATCGAATTCGTGCAAGAAACACAGAGTATGTTTAAGCTCTGCTTAGCATATTTTATCGTTAAATTATTTTTTGTAAAGGAAGAAAAGATTGAAGACGCGTATTTGAAAATGAATCTATAATAATTATTAGTCCCAATTTTTTTTACTTTAATTTTACGTATTCTTCAATAGATGTAAAATAACCCTCTCTATAAAACAAAACTTAAAACTTTTATTTTATTAGTTAATTTTTTAAAATTTCGTTGAAAGTTTTTTTTTAGTTCAACATGTTTTCCCTAGTAAAGTTTGACAATGACGGTGACTTCTATGTTGTCAAAACAAAAGACGTGAAGCATCACAATTCCGACAATTGTATTGTAAAGTATAAAGGCTGTTCGTACTCCGCAATTTTCATTAAAGCTGACGGTAAGTTAATACAATTTAATATACAAAACATATTCTAACATAGTTAAGCCGTTTTTTTAAATAAGGATATAAATTATGTGTCTATGCGACACATTAGTTTCCATGACATGCCTGTATATTGTGGAATCATGATAATAACTTTTTTTCATCGCATGTCCTTGTCAGCATGCAAAGGGTATGAAAAATTATTGCTAAAATATGCAAAAATGATTTTTAAGAAAAAAATTACAGCAGGTGAATAAGAAATAATATAATTTTCAAACCCGCGTCGGAATTTTATAAATATTGCTCGAATTTTATTTCCAAAAATATTTGTAAAATTTCTGGAACAAATTTGGTCACAAAATAGAAAAACGATCATTTAGATCGTGCTACTTTGTCCAAAAAATAAATAAAAATAAACTTAAAGCATCACAGGCGCCATTTTTTCATAATTAAACACAAGAAACAATATGACTGTAACAGTCTAAAAAGCGTCAAAGGAAAATGTTTTACTTACTAACCGAATTAAGTATAACTCAAGATTATATCCGTCGGAGTTTTGTAGAGTTCCGTAGAATACATTAGAGTTAGATTTTATATTAGAACGTTACCAGGACTAAAATATTAATACATTAATTTTCATAGATAATAAAGAAAATCTTGAAGAGAAGAAACAAAGTGAGAATTTAATGGGGACAATAAACGCGGAGAATCAAGAAACACAAATAGCACCAAGAATTCCTGCGAGCCGTGGTCGTGCTTATCAAAATATTTCACCGTCGACAATGTTATACATGAAAGAGTATATAAAAAATCTACCTCCACTAGGATCAAACAGATCAGATAAAGAGCCTATGTCTTCAGTCACTATACATGGTGAAAATAACGCATCGGATTCGGAAGAGAATAATACGACAGATTTTTCATCTTTTGAAACTATATCAAGAGGACAATTTGATTTATCAAGGTAAGCATACTTAGCCCAAAAAACCATAAGTTTATGGGAGAAGCAAGAAACGTTTTAAAAATAAAACTAAAAATATCTATCAAAAATAATTGACACTAAATATTTTTTTATTATAGATTATTTAAATTCTCCTTGATCACATATGACGATTCAGAATTTTGTGTAGTAAATTCCAAATCTATAACACAAATCCAAGGAGGTACGTGTGTGGTGAAATGTAAAGGCGGAAAATAAATAAAACAGCTATTGAAGATAGAGAAAACAAAAAAGATCTAAGAAGGAAGATTTGCCAAAAAAAAAAGATATCAAACAACTTTATGATTTTCTAAGAACCAAAATGGTATATTCTATAGCTACATTAACTAAACAATTTATCTTTGATGATTGGAAAAATCTTTTGGAAACTACTCTAATATGTCTACAAGTGTTCAATCGACGACGAGCCGGTGAGATCGAGAGAATAACTATTGAAAACTACAATAAGAAGGAAACTATTACTGACAATATAGAAGCTGGATTTATTGATAATATTTCTAACCAATCTTTTGAATTCGCTAAACAGTATGTAAGAATTACCCTAAGCGGCAAATTAGGACGTACTGTCAGCATATTGCTGGATCCTTTAAGTAGAAAGGCAGTTGACCTTATATTAAAGCATCGCAACAGTGCCGGAATCCCGAAATCAAATCACTATATTTTCTCGGCTCCCGGATCATCAGGAATATCAAAAAATATATAAGAGCTTGCCCGTTATTACGCAAGTTTGCCTTAGAGTGTGGGGCTACTATTCCTCACACATTAAGAGGAAATAAATTAAGGAAGCATATAGCAACGTATACAGCTTTGCTAAACGTTGAAGAAGCCACAGTGGATAAGCTAGCAAATTTTCTTGGGCACCATAAGGATATACACAAAAGTATTTATAGAGTATCGGTACCAATGGCGGAAATCACCACAGTGTCCAAGATTTTGCTGTCAGCTGCTGGTTGTAGGAATGAGGAAAACTCCGAAAATAATAGTTTTGATAATCTTCGTGGAAACATATCTTCCGAATCTGAGTCATCATCTGATGAATCAGATAATATTACATATGGCGCAAATTTGGTAAAAAAGAAAATTAGTAGTAAGTATAATAAGAAGGAAGACTAGTAGTACCTACAATAAGAAACTTGATAGTAAGTATATTGAGTAGAAACTATAACTAAGCTTGCGTAGACTTATGTTTCAAAATACACAGTGGTTAATTTACCGAAAACCATGACCAAAATCAAATGCATTATGATCTAGCTTTAATTTTTTTTTTGTATTCCTGATTTTATATTTCATTTCACTTAACTCTCCTACTGAGTATTAATGTGGCCTTTTTGGTCCACTCACAAAATTATTTAAACAGTACAAATATTTTTTTAGATTATGCTACCGGCACTTTCAAACTCCCCAAATTGCCTTATTTAAAATCCAGTAAAGATTTGATATCATGGCCGATTTGACATTTTACAGATTAATCACAAATGCAATAATAATTGGTCTGTTCCAGAAATGCAGGAATGTTAAAGTTTTTACTGCCTTAACCAATTTCCTCTTTACGATATCGGAAAAAATTGCAAAACTAGTAGATTCTTGCAGGTTCTGGAACAAGGCCAATACAAACTATTTTTTCTATTATATTTTAAATCGGTTAGTTGTTTCCAATATATATAAACAGAGTACATTACTTGTTTTAAATATTTTTATATTAGATTTTCTAATCAAAAATAAATTTGGAGTACATATTTGTTTGCATAATTTATATTGCATTTGGTTTTGATCAGGTTTTTCGTGTGCAATTTTTCACTGTGCTATGCCGAAAAAAATGAATGCTAATGAAGAAAGATAAAACTGTTATATTCTTAAACGACCTTAATCTTTTGTTCGCATTCATTTTCATTTGACATTATTAAATAGGATGTTTGTTACATCTGTTTTAGGCTTATGAAATGATTATTGTGTAATTTTTACAGATACTTCTTGCGGAAAAACAAAAAAATGCCGGTGGACAATCGATGAGCAAGAAGCTTTGACTGCTGAATTTGGGGATATTTCTTCAATGGAAAAGTTGCCATCTTTCAAGGAGTGCATGAGGGTCGTGTCTGAAAATGAAGTGCTATGCTGCAGAACCCCAGCACAAGTAAAAACGTTTATAGACAACAAAAGGAAAAAAGGCAAAAAAATTAAGGTTGATATTAATGATGATATTAATGATTTTAATAAAGATATTAATGATGAAATTTTTCTTTCATTACAGCAATCTCTTCAACAATAATTTTCCAAAACCCTTTTCGGGTAGTTATTTTACAATGCAATGTTGTTAAATTAATATATACACAATGTGCACTAAATCTTGTATTAATTTCATATTGTAGATACAAAATATTTGACCAACAATTTTTTCCATTAGGTCTTGTAGTAAATTATTATACACATTATAATATAATTATAAATGTATACTTATATAAAAAAAAATAAGTCATATAATTTAATACAAACCGCTTTATTTATATACACGAATATAAAAACTTCAAATGTTTATTTAAATTAAGAGTGTAATAAAATTGCACTATAACTCTAACTGTATTATAAATATATAAAATATTTAATAATATCGAAAGAAAACACTTTATATAAATCATCATATGAATTTTACACGTTTCTTTTAAATTAAATTAATTTGTTTAAATTTATGTTTGCAATAAACATAGTGTTTATATGAACAACTGACAATTACAATATATACAGTTGATTTTCACATATTTTATTATTCAGGAACTGATAAATAGAGCAAAATCCATCATTAGAAATTGTGAGAGTCTACTGTATATTTGAGAACTTTTATTTTGTTACCTTTAAGTGTTGATTTTTTAAGTATTTTTCCCAGCAAAAAATATATAAAAGTTTGGAATTTCTTACTGTACAATCAGTTTCTATAACAATTTACTTAGAATCAAAAAATGCTCCGTCCCAAAACTTGAGCCTAATTCATAATAAAATAAAATTCCGTTGTCTACTGATAACCTACACTACTTTTCTTCACGCGGATCAAAATTCATTTGATTATCCTAATCCTAAATTATTATCCTAATAATAATTTCATGAGAAGGTTGAAGAACATTGAATTGACAGTAATTCCTAAGTTCTTCAGAAAAATGATTTTTTGGATCCCAATTTTCATGCTTAATATTTCTCTACCACAGAAAACATAGTAAATCAAAGGACAGGGAGTAAAACATCATTGGCAGAGATGTTTGTCATAACGATATGAAAGTCGACACTAAAATCAAGGCAGGTTAGAAAATTTTTACTTAGGCCCCTTCTATAACGAAGAAAAAACGTAGACAGTCTCCATTACAGAAGACGACAACAAAAGTCATATTATACACAGAAGAAAAGTGAGTCTACAACATTCCAGTCAAAACTTGTGGACATAGGTCCAAAATTTGCCATAGACCCCAGAAAGCGCGCCAAAACTTGAACCATTGTTTCAAAGTATTTTCCAGTGTGTGTGTGCATATTTGCATTTTGCAATTTGCATATTTGCATTTTGCAATCTATTAGTCCAATATTTTGAATAGTTCATAACGCGCCCAAAAAAACTTAAGTATCTTACAGTCTGTGAGCACATTTAACCACAAAATGGGCTGTAATTTGACATTTAAAGTGGAGTGGATATTTAAGGAATATGTTTTCCTGAAATATCGATTTTTAAAGAATATGTTGTCTTCAAACTTGATTTTCATACCGGCAAACCCGACTGATACTATTTAACTTGTTTATGTATATTTTGTCCTCAAACTTCAATTTTATAAGAAGATGTTGCTCTCAAGCGAAATTTTTGAACTCCTGAAAAAATTTTTTCCTGAAGCGAACTTTTTTAAGATAAAAAAATGTTTTAAACTCAGGTTTTTTTTAGGAATATATGTGTATGTTGCTCATGTTATATTTGCAGTTTTCCCAAAGGACATCCGGTTATCATGCAACGGCGTTAAGTTGTGTTGAATATATTTGACAACGTGGTGGCAACCCACAACAAAATATACGCCGTGTGCATTTTGGGGACAGTGTCTGAAAGGAGCTACAACATATATGATGACCTCAAAGTAGTCGTTATGTAAAAATATGTTGCAAATCAAAAGTTTTCGGGAAAATTACCTAATAATTATTAAATGTAGCTGAGGAAGGCCCTAATTATACTAAAAATGGGTTCAAAAGTTAAAAAAATTGCTGTCCCCAAACAAAGCATTTGACATATATATATATATATATATATATATATATATATATATATATATATATATATATATATATATATATATATGTGTGTGTGTGTATATATAGTATGTTTAGTAAAAAATTGTATATATGGTAAAGGTAGGAAAACGATTTTACTACGATAACCGTTTTTTACAAATTTCAATAATTTTTATTCATTATTCTCAATTCCAAGGCGTATATTCCACAACAGCTGGTCTTTTGATTCAACAGCTTTCGTTCGTTGTGGCGCTTATGTTCTCAATTATACACTTTTTTCCGTAAAGTGAGAATTGACTTCCTCCGTCGTTCTTTTCAGCAGATTGACCGTAGAATCAACTACCGATATCTGCTTTTTCGTTAGTTCTTTAAGATCATGTTGGTTGGCTATTAATATCGAGAACGATTCTCGTCGTCCATCACTTCAAATGCCCAATGCTGAAAAGGTCCTATGAAATTCAATGTCGTTTACCTTCCCTCAGGGATAAACGATTATTCGCCTTGATTTTGTTTACTTTATACTCCATATTGTTTATGACTGACCAGCATTGATCCTCGTATGTTTGGTGTTTAGGGCATATCTTATTCGAGGTGTTAACAACCTTGTTGCAAGCTCCAGTGTATGGTTTCATTTCAAAATAAACAACCATGTTCCACGAAGATGCGGCCACATGAATTTGTGAAAACGGATCTAGATACATTTCGTCGACAATGTTCAATTTTTTACGGAAGAGGCCTTAGTCGATTTTACCAAACAAAGATTCATAATGATGGTCAGCATCATTACAGGATTTCTTATTAGCTTATGTAATCGCTTTGTAGTGTTCACTGACATGAGCCTCTAAATGGACGTTCAATTGCCGGAGCCTCTAATAATGGACGTCCAATTATAGAATGGACTGGTGTTAAGGTTTAGATGTGCTCCCTGCTGCTATCTAGTTCTTGTAAGGGCCTTGAGTTTAATACCGCTTCTATTTGGGTCAGCACTGTGCTAATTTCTTCATACGTCAACTTCATGTCGCTAACGGTTCTTTTTAGGTGATACTTCATCGCGATACTTCATTCTTCCCACAACCCTCCGAAGTGAGGAGCTGCCGGGGTGATAAAATGTCTTTTAACTCGTTCATTTTGCTTTCCAATAAATTTAATGACGAGTCTAAAGGTCCTTTTCTTATTGCTCCAGTCTTTTCTTTTTTATACCCTTCACCATACTATGGAGGGTATATTAATTTTGTCATTCCGTTTGTAACTCCTCGAAATACTCATGTCAGACCCAACAAAGTATATATATTCTTGATCAGCGTAAAATTCTAAGACGATTTAGCCATGTCCGTCCGTCTGTCTGCGTGTCTGTCTGTCTGTTGTAATCACGCTATTTTTCGAACAAATTGAGATAGAAGGCTAAAATTTTGCACACATGTATATTTTACCAGTAGGCAGGTTAAGTTCGTAAATGGGCCATGTAGGTCCTAGTTCTCATATAGCCCCCATATAACGGTACCTCCCGATATTCGGTATTTTGATGATTTTACCGACATTATTCACCGGAATTGTTTCAAATTTGGCATTTGAAGTTCGTAATAGATACTAAAACCTAAGACAGAAAATTATCTGTGCAGGTCCACGCCTTCGTGTAGCCCCCATATAACGGCACCCCCCGATATTCGGTATTTTGATGATTTTAGCGACATTGTTTACCGGAATCGTTTCAAATTTGGTATTTGATGTTCGTAACGAATATTACATCCTAAGTCAAAAAATGAGCCATGTTGGTCCACGTCTTCATATAGCCCCCATATAACAATACCCCCCGATATTCGGTATTTTGATGATTTTAGCGACATTACTTAACGGAATCGTTCCAAATTTGGTATTTGAAGTTCGTAATAGATACTGCAGCATAAAACAGAAAATGAGCCATGTAGGTCCACGTCTTCGTATAGCCCCCATATACCGTACCCCCCGATATTCGGTATTTTGATGATTTTAGGGACATTATTTACCGGGATTGTTTCAAATTTCGCATGTGATGTTTGTATTGGATACTTCAGCCCATGCCAGAAAATTGTCTGTGCAGGTCCACGTCTTCGTATAGCCCCCATATAACGGTACCCCACATATTCGGTATTTTGATGATTTTAGCTACATTATAAACAGATTTTTCTTCAAGTTTCGCATTTAAATATTGTAATAACTTATGACAAAAGTTGCCTATGCAGGTCCACGTCATCGTATAGGCATTCGGTATTTTTAAAATTTTAGCAGAATTTTTAACGGATTTTATTTTTTTTTGTTGGAAATTGCCAAATTTGTGCCAAATGGTGGAGGGTATTAAAGTTCGGCCCGGCCGAACTTACTGTTTTTTTACTTGTTTATTCCTGTTTTTTTTTATTTTTTGCTGGTTCGTTTTTTTATAATGTCGCCTCCTTAGCTGTTTTCTTTTATTATTTTAATTTTTGTTCCCTTTTCGTATCGACTTTTGATGTCATCTTTCGTTTTTCTTTTTGTTGCAACTAATATTATTTTAGGTCGTTGATACTTTTTTTTCGAATGACTAATATTAAGATGAGAAAAGAGTCTAATCTCCCTTTCGATTGTCAATTTTATTTGGTTAAATATTTTCTTAACAGTCTTAAGGTGTCTTATTGGTAGAACAACACCCACTTATCTTCTGTTCACATTAAGTGTCATAAACTATGCTGCACTTTAAAACACAAGGTGTTTAACAATATTAAAGATCGAGCATTGTCTATGTGAAGGTTAAACTAATGAAAAAATCATGTTCATATTTCTATGAACAACACCTTTCGGTTATTGATGTAAGAATCGGCTATCAGGATAATCTTAATTATTGATTCTTAGGGTACAGAAGACACATTAAGCCAAGTGATTACAATGGCAAAAATTATCTCAGCAAATCTGAACAAATACTTATCAGAACTTTATAGATTAAAATATTTCTCAATCTCACTTTGAAAGAACCACTAGAGTTTCGATTCAGGAAAACCTTTTATCGATGCAACTCTATGTGTTACAGGAATATGATTTACATACACATCACAATAAAAATAATAGAGATACGTTTTTTTCCAAGTGCAAGTGCTACTAAAATTTTCCCCCTCCAAAATCAGACTTGGGGTTTAATCACCTAAGTCTGATCACGCTTGCAAAGAAAGGAAAAATCGTTACTGACGCATATTTTTGGCATAATATTTGCCTACTGTATTTCCTCGCAGGTCTTCGAGCTGGGAATACCTATTTGAATTGTAGCCATGCATGTGTAGTGGACATCAACGCATGTTCGATGCTACTGAGCAACTGACCCCAGTTCTATTTGTGGGCCGAAATGCAAACTCGGTAATTGCTGAAGCTTTATCGGGATCAGTTTTAATAACACAATAGCTTACCAAATGTTCTAAGTATCAAACATCTGAAACACAAAGACTGCTCTTTTCGACATTAATTGTAAGGTCGGACTCTCTAGTC